GAGACGCTATACCAAATGACAATACTTGAAATTATTTATGTTATTTTAAACTACTTTTACTGTATTCATAATTAGTGAAAATTAGTAAAAAAGATTATTGATCGATGAACAGATTACAAATTCTAAAAATTTTGATTAATTCTTCAAAAGGTATTTAGGAAACTTCAATACTACTCAGGAAGAAAAGAAATAATAAATTCAAGTTAAATTAAAACGCATAGTGATATGTCGTATTTTGTTCTAACTTACACAATCAAGTATAAGCAATAACTGTAAAGTATCTATATGTCGCATATGTCATACAAAATTATATATAAGTATGATACGTGACAATATATAATCAAAACAAATAACCATTGAGTAACAATGTTTACTAGGGACTGGGCGGCACAGCTGGAGCTGGCGCGCGCCTATCGATTGCCACAAGGGCAAGGCCGCGCGCCCGGCCGCCCAACCACCCGGCCGCCCGGTCGCCCGGCCGCCCGGCCCGTTCGTGAATTCTCCCGAACAACGTAGAATAAAGGATATTCCGATCTGAATAATTCCTGCAACTTCTCGAATCCTTTGAACGAACTTATTGAAGGTATTGTTGGTCGTCTACAATGTTGACTTTCTATACGATCGCAGATGTTTTAATTAATGTAATTAAATCATTTATAATCTATTCATCGCTGAATTCTTAAATTTTTTTTTCATTAATTCAAATTCAAAAATGGCGAATATAATAGTTTTATATTGCAAAATTATATAATATATATAATTAATGAAACATGTCTACTTGAAGTTTCAGTTTCATACACTTCAAATTTTACACTTCTACATTGTTATCTTATATTGTTTAATTTTTGTAAAGAATTTTAATTCTATTTGACAGATATTAAAATATAATATGATCTAATTTTCCGAAAATACTGAAAAACAGTTTTAGACTACTAATTTCTCTGGTACTACTTATTTAAGTAGGAAGGTACTACCGAAGTAATAAGTGTATGTTAAACGGTATATTTTTTAAAATAACTATACTGTAGTACATAGAATCAGAACCTCAAAGTTTGGGGACCCTAGTTATTATTATAATTATAAAACACCAATAAAGTAAGAGTTCCTACTTATTTCACTCTTCATTTTGTTGAATATAATATAACGGAAAGTATAATACACTGAAGCATATGCGATAAATTAATTCACTTTGGAATAATTAAACGTTGGCGTCAGAACTTTGATGTAGGGTGGTGTGAGACTACATACATATGTATATTACAGAATTCCGCTCCAATAGAAATTCACAGTGTAACTTTTGACCTTCGAAAATACATGAAAGCTTAACAATTTATATTACAAAAATGTAGTACGAAATTAAATATCTAACATTTATAGATAAAACCTAACAATATTTTTTATAGCATAATGAGTGATTCATAGTCAAAGGAATGTCATTATTTGATTTATCTCCTTGAGTCAACATCAATGGACGCAGACATTCATTATTAACTAGCTGTTCCCGCGACTTCGTACGTGGTTTATTTACAATAATACAATATTACTTTTAGTTCATATAGGTTTAAATAGAAAAAAAAACAAAATCCGATAGGTAAGAAAAAAGGTATGTTTCAAAATTTTATTGAATATTACCAGTTATCCTTAGTAATTTAATTTATTTGCTTTTAATGCATTTTTAAAGAATGTTAATAATAAACGTAAATAAAATTCTACTTATGTTATACAATTTTATTGTATTAGGCAGTGAACATTATAACAACTACTAACAAATAATAAATATATATTTCCTGTTTGTTCTCTGTATGGATGAATGAATGGAAAATCCATTACTAATCTATGTTGTACTTAAAAAACTATTTAACAAGATAATAAAAATACAGTCATATAGTACTTTACTTTACTTCCACTATACATTATTCACTGATTGAAATAATTTTCAATTTCCATTTATTCAATTTAATTGCTTGAATTATACACTATTTATGCCTTATATGTATATATTTTTTTACTTTTCTTGCATTTAACTCCTTGCAGCACATTTTAGGTACTTGCTCCAACTAGTCGGGGCTTGTTACATAGTGTGAATATTATGAACACAGTGTAGAATTTACAGTATGTTCAGGGTCGCTATACAGAAAATTCTTCCACATCGATTGTCGATTCAATCTTTACAATTGGCCTATTTCTATTTCAGCATTCAAATCTTTTAGGCTCTATTGATCACTTCCGTCCTCTTTGGATCTTTCCATTGAGACATTCAATAAATGGAGACAATATATTTCTTTTAATGTATGATAATGGCGTAGTGTAGCCACCTATGCAAATGGTATACTCTGGCAGGCCACCAATGGAGGATGATAGGATACGCATGATATCAAATCAGCCCAACAATCCACCTACCCACTTCCCTGCCCCCATGTAATGCCCCCATGTAATTGATTCACAATGATTCATAGGGTGATATGACTATGTACATTAAAACACTCTTTATTGCGGGGGAGGGGATTGTTAGTAAAGTGGATTAATAATGCCATTGTTAGTAATCTATGTCAGAGTGTCCTCCACGCAGTTCTCCCTGGAAATCATCATGTTAAATTTCTGGTGAATTTGCCACGGTGGACTAACTGACCTGACCTCATACTCATCTTATCATTCTCCTCTGGTGCTCCTACAGCGTATACCGTTAGCGCAAGGAATGCACATTACCCTTCCTATCCTATTACCCATTATCATTGCTTAAAAAACACTATTTATTTCTCTAGTAAATTACAATAAGCTGTGGTTATAAATAATCTGTGGGTAATTATGCAATTCGCACCTATTTCTGCTGCTGAGCGGAATGCAAATTGATATAGAACAGCAAATATATAAGGTAGGGAGGTAGTTATACCTTCCTACCTTACATATTTGCTTGGCAGGACCAAAATATTTTTATTATGATGCAACTGTATCTTATATATTATGATGCAAATAACATAAGACTATTTTTGTTCTTTAAAAACATAGTGAACATATTGCATTATGTATAATTTTATCATGCAACATGTTTATCAATTTATCTTTATTGATTATTATTTAAAAATATACGTAACATTGTCCTATGATTGATTTCTATCTAGAAATCATCAACATTTATGTTGAAATGATGAGGGTTGCCATCTCTAAAATTTGGAAACCATGATAAAACGCGTGAAACCGCCCGATTTTAGAGTCCAGAAGCATGTCCGGGATATGTCAATAGGTTTTTTTAAACATAGTCAGTGTAATAAAAAACAGTTAAAAATGGAATAAATCATCATTTTAATCGTACCTAAAAACCAATAAAACAATCTTATTACAGTCTGTTTTAATAACAATATAAATTAGTTCGATTTTTTTGTTATTAAAATAAAGCACAGATTATTAATATACTGTAATATTAAACCTAAAAAATTACGTTACTCCGGACGCTCCCCGGATGCTCTCTAAACTAGGACAAATCCGGGGAAACCCGGACGGATGGCAACCTTAAAGTGATGTTTTGTAAAACCTGAATGAATATTTAAATAGATGCAATAATGTCCTGTACTTAAAGTACACTAGATCACAAAATACACTGAAAATCTCTTTATAATATACAAACGATAATAGTGTAGACTTACTGATATATTTTTTTATTTCCTCGTTCAATCTCTTTCCCTTAATACATTATCTCCTACATAATCAAATACAAAAACTCACTCTAAATCCCAAGTTTCTTATAGGTATTATGTGGCATTATTAAGCACCGCGTAAACTGCGTAGGTGCAGAACCTCTGACGTCTGAAAATGTGGCGAATTACTGATCTGGCGCGGAGGGTTCGTGTTGGTGTGCCTGGGATGCCAGAAGCCAGATAGCGTGGCGGGCAGCGACGCAATCACGCGGGGGGCGCATGCGCGCCACCACATCGATCTCCAAACTTCACTCCCCAATCGTCCTCCCTCCCTTCCTCTCGGCCCCTCTCACCTCATGGCCATCTCCCGACACGTGTATAAAGACGCCACATAATTTGGGTATTTTATTTCGTCAGAAAACAATTGCGAGTGGGAGGATTATATGATTGACGGAAATGGCAGAAATTTGAGTAGTTAAATAATGTAATATATATTACATTCCACTTTAAAAAATTTAAAGAGTATCTATTATCGACTGTATCAAATAAACAATCAGTATAAAGATGGCGGACGCAGGTTACCAAACTCAAGAGCGACCAGTTTTTGCTCTACGATTGATATAACAATATTACATCAATGTGCTCAGAGTCGCATGCGTCACAGCCAAACGCCACGTATATAGGTACGTGCCTAGGTACTACACTACAACAGTATATCTGACTTAAATTCAGAAACAATTTAAGAGACTAGGTAATAAATCGATAGACCTGCAAGTAGATCTCTTAATTCCATGTCGCATGTGGTTCAAAAAAGACATATTTTATCAATGAAGTTAGGTATTGTTACAGATAACAGAAAAGATATATTATTTTGCGAGTTTAACATGTGCAAATCAGAACAACTTCTTTTTTGGGACAAGATTTTAATATACCTACATGATAACAAACATGAATACAGAGGCACTATACATATAAGAACACCTACGTAACTTTTCTTATATTAATAATATCCTTAATATATTATTTAATAAAATACACAACAGTAAGAAATTATGTGAAATGGGCGCCCATGGCATAGGAACAATTTTAAATAAGGAAAAAGGGTGATCGCTGATTGAGTATGGCGGGGTCTCAACGACGGAAGACTGAGTTGCGGCGCCGCGGCGGGAGGAACGGTGCAGCTGCCTGCCGCTGCCGGTGCCGGTGCATCTCCATCCCCCGGCGGGGGCCTGCGGCCGGCCCCGTCCCCCCGCGCCGGCCCATTGCCAAGTTCAATGCCAAGGTCATGCGCGACCGAGTGCGACTGCGCGCCGCAATGCAGGAGCGCCGGCGGCAGGCGGCCGGCTCGCCATCAGTGCCTCACCGACGATCGCGCTATACACCGCATTACAATTTTCCATCGCGTTCCAATGGGGCACCTGTCTAACAGTTCCGTTACAGTGTATTCATAACACTATCGAACATGGCAAGAAATATGACCGCTGTCACAGGCTTCGTTTTTTCAGGTGTCACGTTGTGAATGAAGCGGTGCGCGTGACGTGTCGAAATTTCTTCGGTGTACATACACAGCATGTGCGTTCTATGATCTACGGAAGGCGCTATGACATCAAAGAATTGAGCAAACATCTGCAGATCTACAGCTTCCTGTAAGTCAAACACATGATATAGTTACTTCATAATAGTTGCTAATGTACCTGATAATCTACAATAAATTTGTCCAAAGTAGCGAAAAACCGGTTTCTTGCATATACACTTAATAATGTCAATCATATAATGTCGTGGAATTATTATTTAACAGCGTACTGCTACATTTTTTCGATCGTTAGACTCAATGCGGTCTAGAGCATCGGATTACGTGTACCTGCGGCCATGTTTGTTCTAGACATTAGACAGTCAACATTGACTATGGAACGTGTCCTCGATGTGACTGGACTTCAGGCTTCATCGTTATCACTGTTTCTCTTAATTATTTATAACGACATCACTACTTATAATCATGATTAACCGTCATTATTATCTCTCATTGCGTACCTTAGTTTAGAATATAGCTCTTACTTTTCCATATGCCCCAATAATTTCCATGAACATATATTTCATCAGTATCACACAAAAAATATTTTACTGTATTACTATAATACTAATTACATGTTGCAGTTATAAAATTATAACATTTATTCAATTCTTAAGTCTTAGACTAAAACTCATTAGAGGCTAATTAGTGAGATGTATATATAGTTCTAAATAATAGCTATAAAATAAATATGAATATTACGATAATTATATATTTCAAATAAATTTAGTTTGGTCGTTATCATACCTATTAATTGGTATATCATATAATTAAAACTAAATAAATAAAATCTATTATTTTGGAATATCACAACGAAATAAAACAAAAATGTTTAGTTAAATATAATTCCTGTAATAATCACTGGTAATTATTAACCTTTGACAAATGATAGAAATTAATGCTTAGAACCCGGTACCAACGGAATATATGGGAGTAGAGTAAATTAAGCTGTCAATATAATTAAAAGCGATAATTACTTGTAAACAGACAATATTATTAGGACTACGTACATGAAAAAACGAAAAGGATCATTTTATATTTTGCCTCCCAACGAAACAAAATCACTTCCGCATTTAGTTATTATCTACGAGTATGTATGCTACTTGGTTATATGTACTTTGAAAGAGTTTATAAAATACATGATAAACCTTTTTATTAATTAATAATAAATGGCCTATGTCCAGCAGTGGACGTCTTCCGGGCTGCGATGATGACGATGATGAATAAATGTAGTCTCGTGAGTGTTGTTTTGAGTAGAGTAGATACAAAACTCAGAGGTTGATTAAAAAATATATCACTTGAAAATGCTTGTAAATATGTCTATTTTAATATAGATTATTCTTATCTTATCTAAACCACATTCCATATACATACATATACACAATAAAGATATTATAGGTAACTGAATAATAATATGTATGAGTAAGCATACTAATAAGATATAGAGTGAGCTATACTTATTAGTGTACATAGTTTTACTGCGTGACATTAGAAATGTAGATGTTCACAGATGCTTAGGTTCTTCTTGTTTTGATCCACTTAAATTAATATTATAAAGTGGAAACATTTAATTCTTTGTTTGTAATGGATAAACCAAAAATAATCTTAACCATTAAAAAAATATGATAATTACTAACATATGTACATTATCAGAATGACGGCAGTAAGTTTAATCGTAGACTATTGAACGATACACAAACTAGCAATAAGCCAGCCATATAGGTAAAAAATAATTGATAGGGACCAAACCCCATACCAATATAATATTCGACAGTAGACAGACAGATTAAACGCGAGCGTTCAACACAGCAATGCGTTTTTTATTTCCTACTGGCCTGACTGATCATATAAGTAATCGTTAAGCTACCATGTATTACAGTCTGACTGACTGAAATTCTTTCACTTGTTTATATGATCAAGTTTGACAAAATATAGAAATCAACGACAAAGTCAATAAAGAACTGTAATACAATTTATTTGCTTTTGTTGACATTTTTTATATTTATACAAGTTATTACATTGAAAGAAAATATTCAGTGAACGGAGAGTTATTAAATTGTGCCAGGAAATAAAGTAAAGAAAATAGTACAGAAATAGAACTGTATAAAATAATTAAATACACATAGAAATAATTATACCAATTGCAGTAAGAGGTTTTTTGAAAATATATCTAATGACAAATACAATAAAATTATTTACAGTTATATACTGTATATATGTATATTTCATCCGTGACAACTCTATGTATAGTAGAAGGAATTTGGAACGTTTAAAGTTCTGGACTAAAAAGAAATTCCAAAACGACTTCAAGTTTAGCCTTCGCAAAATTCTTAGATTCATCAAGGGCACCAACTAAAACGACTAAGGGCCCAACGCTTTGTATCCTGTTGTGGAGTCGGCAAAAAATGTCGAACGCATGAGTTCAAGGTAATCAGGTGATTCCAGCCGACGTATCGAGCTTTTTTAGGCTGCTTCAAACGAATTCTTTAGTTGAGTATTATCTAGTAACATGACACTAACTATTTAGTAATTGCTCTTGTGCCTAATAAGTGTTTCCACTTTATGAAACGTCGTTGTCAATCTACAATAAAATCCTTGTATTTACGTTAATTTCACAAACAATATAGCGTTATAAATATTTTTTAGTTATATACCATGTTCAAATTGAATAATAAATATAAGTATTGTAGTAATTATTTATATTTTAGTTTAAAAAGAGCCTATACAATGTAAATAGTAGTATACGAAGAATAGCAATGTAATTGGGTTTCTATATAGGTATGTAGTGCATAATATGTATTTATAAAAAAAATATTTGAAGTAATTCTGTCGCTTGTTTAGTACTCATTTAAACGCTTAATTTGGGAGTAGATTGCGCTGTGTGCAATGTCCTGGGTTATTGTTATTATGCACATCTGCAAAATAGGTCCTGACAACTTAATACCAAAACCGGCAGTCTTAATGATAACAATAAATAAGAACTATACGATAATGACGTTATCTATGGTAATATAAATATTTATACGACGAGTAAGTCTCGCTTCTAATGCACAATACTGACGATTGTTTTTGTACAAAATATATAAGAAAATGTGTATTTATATGTTTACTGTATTCGTCAATTATTTTTGTTATACAGAAATAAGTTCTAATAATTGCTCAACAGTTAATACTACACGATATTTTCTACCATCAATATGCTTCAGAAATTATATAATATATATAAATATGATATTAAAAACGAATATTCTGTTCAAAATCAGAAGATTTCAACGCGTTTTTTTTGCGAGACCTATATGCACAAACGTCATACTCAAACTCATAAATAAGGTAATATTACGCAAAATCTAAGTATCAAGGACAACAAGTTATGATATTTATATAATGGTGCTTCGCGGCAGATACACCATAGATCTACCATACAATAGATAAGCCTCGTCGAGCCAAAAAAATTTACAATTAAATTTCTTTTGATACTAATTCATTACACTTATTTATTTTTATTATAAGCTAGATACTACTTCCCAACATCTTTCAATTTATATAAATATCAAGTAGACTATCAACCTATATTACAACTTAAAAATCGTATATATATCATGTTTCTAAATGTGGTGAAAAACGGAGCAATATGGTAAGAAAACAAATACCTACTACCATTATCACATGTTCAGAAATCCAGAAGCTACCAAAATCTCCGAAGCCGCTATAGTTTATTTAGTTACAACATTTTCCTCCATAAATAACAATGTAGAGACAGATTAATCTTGATTGGTACGTGGCTACCGCCAATGCAGATGCAAGAAGCATAGTTGCAGTGACGTCATGAGGAACACTGTTTCTGGCCACCTTCCAAATAATTGTGAACAAAAGAATTCCCTTCGTATACATTTTTCATTCCTGATAATGTCTAATTAAACATTTATAATAGAATATGCATTTGTATACAATAATATAAAAACTCTAATTAGTGATAAAATCAGAGTTTTATACAGGGAAATTATTATACATTATGTTTTATTATGCATAAATTAGGTTTAAATTTAATGAGCATTAACTCGCATATTAATAGTTTGTTAAATTTATTATTATTTACATGTCAAAATATTATTATAATTTTAGAAAAGTTGAATATTAGAGAATGTATTTTACCAGTGAACGAGTAACCCTTGCAAATAATAAGAACTTAGTGAAGATATCGTGTATCTAGGAATAAAGGGTCGGGTGTGAGTAGGGTACCTATATGTGTAAATTTAATTTATTTCAATATTATTAATACAATGTAATCGATAAATATATCCATTTACTGTCATATAAATATAACCTTATTTACCAAGACTATAAAAGACATATTATAGTATCCAATATAGTATTTTACGATAATGGCACAAGAATAACACATTGATACACATAGAGTTTGCTTGGGGCCTCCCACATGGTAGTCTCGCCTTGAACCTGCGCCCGCGAAGCCTGAATAACAATAACCGCTTGGCTAATAATACTGAGCCAGATAGAGTACAGCTACTGTTGTCGTCACATCCATGTCGATTATATTTGATCTAATTAATTATTTATTTATCTTAGAATATAATAGCCTAAGCCCAAGTAAGTAGGTTTTAATAATTAAATAGTGTCGATGTATTAAAATAATTTTATTTGGCTGCCGGTTCAGACTTTGAGTGCTGAAGTAATAAAAAAAAATTACACCAAACCTTAATTGAATCGAATTTAAAAAAATATTTTCTTCATACAAATCTTGCCTTGCTCACTCTGTTTAGATAAATAGGTGCACCGTTTTGTATTGATATACTTGTGAACATTAGCCAATTGATTTTTATTTAAATACATGAAATTCATTCTGAAAACAAGATTTGCTTTGATTAAATTCTTTCAACCAAACATCTAGATAAATTAAATGAATCCAAATTCATGGATTATTAAAATTATATCTACAAGCACATCTCACTCTTAAAAAAATATAAAGTGTAATGAAATATGTTTGAATAGTAAAATGTGTTCTTTCCAGAAAACCTTTATTTGAAGCTTATTTATTCAATAAATTATGTATATTAATAT